TTGGTTTGAGATGACCATGTTTTAAGTCGTCTGGTAGTGTGAGCAGGTCTTTCCTTAGCTTGTGTGGTGCTACAATTAAGGTTCATCGACGGCAGTATACGCGCTAAAAGCAGATAACACGTGACGTGACTCTTCAACGGTACATCTTTATTGTTCATTACGATGCCTTATCGAATATGGCAGAAACACAACTATCATAAATCAAACACGAATAACATATCACAACTATTTTGCAAATGATACAAAACCATACTACTATGAACTGCAGAGCATATATTTTGCCTCTCTCTTACCTAATTAGAGCTTCAATGTATCGGTTCACAGCAGTATTTCAAGGATAAAATTCTGGCTATAAGTCTTAGGCCTATTCAACTTCACAAGGGGTTTGAGGTGGGTTTATAAACAGGAGGGCTTATATCCTTAGGGCGTGGGGAAGGGGGGGGGGGGCGGCGGCTAATAAATGGTATAGAAAACCTTTTCGCAATGAGTTGATGAGACCAACCTATGTATCAAGTATAATAGAGTCGTTAACTGAAATAGCTGTTACATTTAAGCAATATACTTCTATGAACTACCACTTTAAGTCGTCCCGGTCAAAGTGCTGCTTATTTTAAAGTACTAGCGGACTACTGAAAATGGGAAGGTCAGCTCCCCTTGTCATGTAAGCAGGATTCGATACTTGCAATATTTGAGTGCTTTCACTCTACTGAAGTAAAGTTAACTATGATCAACAGTTCTCTCTGNTTTGTTTTGTTTTTTGCGATCTCTTTAACTTTGGCCATCTGTATTGCTCACGCTAAACGCTAGACATCCTAGCAACAGGTGATCCACTCACTAGAATTGTCATCTGGCGGTTTACTATATAACAATACTAATACTTCGCCTATCTTGCTGTTGACTACCATATCAACCGTTAAGTATCATTACTTTCTGCTTTACATATTGAAGTGCAATCTTACACTCGATGCACCCGTCACTGTTAGTCGTTCCACGTCGGAGGGTTGTCATTCCCTTGCCACATGTTTCGCAGCTGGCCCGGCCTTCCTTGTCTTGGTAGCTGCCTTTACCACATAGTTTACAATCGAGGCTGTTTTGGTCATGAAATGATCCGACAGAACAAAGCACTGAAAGTCAAAACAGGCGTTAACTGTTTGCATTATTACGGCAGCTCACATGACCAACCGTAAGTGCTTGAAAACAAAAATCTTTCCAAGGGTAAACATTACAATCAAGCTCATTAGATCTATAAAGGATGTTACAATTAAGCCAACGTAATTCTGGCCCAATCCTAACATATTTTCCAGGGTGTATTTCCACGGCGAGTTGTCGTAGTAGCCACTTGTGTTACATTGGCAAAATAGTCGATGAAAAAATCAATAAAATTACCCACCAATTATGCAGCACGCATAATTAGGTTTATGTAACACGAGAAAGGGTCATTGTTAAGGATATCTAGTCGGCGGAGAACAATTGGCCTTACGGGTTGTATCAGATTCCTTTATAAAAGGTGTGAAGACATGATCATCGCAGTAAT